AAAATCTGGGTCTGAACGTGCGAATTGTGGCCGTCAGCGACTAGTCAATGTTAGGGCAGAACGGGGGAGGGGCAAGACTGGTACAAGACAACAGAAGGGCAACAGTGCCGTGTCAGATTCCTCGCATCACCTTTCACCATCTCGTGGAGTCACGAGGCGGCCCAACGAAGTACTGATGGGGGGGGTCATAATAATCTGGCCACTCAGTGTATATATCTCTGCGCCTCTTCTAAGCTCGGAGTTCTCTCTCCGGGACATTTCACATTTCCAGTTTTGCGGCTATGGATAAAACGGGGGGACGCATTCACAATATTGATCCCTGACCCCCCGGCTAGGACTGGAGTCTGCAGAGCGGATCTAACGTGCTGCATATTTATGATGGAAAGAGAACAGTCGGTCGTGGAAAGGACGCTGCAGGAAACTGATTCATAGTCATGCAGTTCCGGTGCTGTAGAAGCCGAGATCTCTTCATATTAATACGGGGGATGTCATTAACATGGATGGAGGTGCTGGGACACACGGCAGCTGCTGGGTACGTGGTAGTTGCCGGCACTCTGTGCCGGAGATCAGATAACATGACCAGAGTGGAAAGCTCCAAGCTACAGGGAGCATCCCGTATATAAACTGTAGGTGCCATAGGAGGAAGGAGTCGTGTAGTATGACCGTCATCCTACAAGACCTGAACTGACACTTTATGTAAAATGTATTTCTAGACTCATTCATATTACACTGAAGATTAGAAGTTCTGCCGCTTGGGGATAGTGTTCGATCCTCGTAAAATACAATGTTCTCTCTTGGCAATGATGTCATTTCCTGTCTCTGTGTTTTTGTTGTTTTCCAATACAACAAGAAGGGTCCAGCCACGTGCCCACCACCTTCTTGCCTGGAAAGAGTCATATCTGTGGCAGGTTTCCAACACTAGACCACCAGGAGAGAACCACACATTCCCTTTAGGTGCTGTTGGTCTAACACTGTAAGCATGCTTACAGGAAAGTAGAACACATTGGTTACCTGTACAATCAGCAGCATGGAAGCAGTCAGGTGACATCACAGTAGAAGTCTCCGCAACAAGGTTTTCTTTAGGTTTGGCTGTGTTAGGGAAGGGACAGAAACCCCTTTCAGGTTTTACTGCTAACTGTACCCAGAATGGAGAGATTTGTAATCACTTCCTGTCCCAGCTGGCACCAGAACAGGAAGTGAGTGGAAATTAGGCATGGACAGGAAATCTTAGCAGGAACACAAGTGGCCATGAGAAAGCAGCCAGAGGTCCCCTCCCTAGTTCCATTTTACTGCATGGACTCACCTGGGAATGCATTAATGTCGATGACCGCGTGCTGGCCGCTCTTGTTGTTGATGATGATATCGATGCCGAACAGGGAGATCCCCAGAGCTTGCCGCAGAGCCTTGGAGATGGCGCGGATGACGTCATCAATGGGCCGCTCAAACACCCCTTCCACTTTGTCCAGCTGCAGGAGGGGAAGAGAACGTCATTGGGGCATAAAAACAGGAGAGGATGAGACTCCAACAAGTAACATTAGAATACGGTCAGCACCATTAAAAGTCACATTTCAGCTATAGGCAG